GCATGTGAGGAAATTGTTTGCTCAGAGGGTGATGACTGGCACAGGCTGCCCAGAGAAGCTGTGGATGTGCCTTGTTTGGAGACATTCATGGCCGGATTGGGTGAGACCCTGGGCAGCCTGATCTGGTGGGTGGCAGCCCTGCCCATGGCAATGGAATTGGAATGTGGATGGTCTTTAAATATCCCTTCCATTCTAAAACATGCTGTGATTCTGGTTTTTTTTGTGTGTGTGTGTGTGTTTTGTCTTTGTTTTTTGTTTTGAAGATGCATGATTAAGTAGTGGAACTCGCTGCCACACATTTCAGATCCAGGAAATAAATATGATGGATATAAAGCAGTGAGATGAGGGTATAACAGTTTGTATAATGAACTTCCATGAGGCTGTTAAAAATAACAGTGTGGATTCAGCCTCTGGTGGAGAAATTCTGTGAACTGGTATTTACTGAAAGGAATCCTGAAAGGAGGTAGGAATAACAATGGGAAAAGTGTTAGAGAAAGGAGTAATAATGCAGTTTGTCCTGTATTTGTATATTTCCTCAAACTGTTCCTGTTGAGCACATCAAAGACATGCTGTGAGCTTAGTTAGACCTTTGCTCTGCTAGAGTATAGTCAGTATTAAGCTAAATCTCTGAGGCAATAGCAAGGCTATAACTAGAACTTCATGCTTTATGTAATGATGAATTCATGCTGTCATTACGTGGCTGGTTAACTTACTCATTTAAAGCTAGGTTCTTGCCTCTATCATCTCACCTCTTTTCACTAACACCCTTACTGGTATCTGATCCCACCAGTTTGTCTGATCCTAATGAGCTGATGATCTTTACAAAGCAGAGCAGTAACTTGTGCAACAATTGAGAAGAGAAATTAATGCTTTTGCTGTCTTATGTCTCCAAACTAATTGTAGAGCATGGCAACACCAGTCCCGGCTGGTCTTGCGTTCCTGGCCTAAGCATTGGCTATGGTGCCCTTCTAGGGTAAACTCTTCTCTGAGTTCTGAACTGGCAGGGGATTTACAGTGCAGAAAGCAGGAACTGAATAAAAAAAACCTCTAAATAGAGTGGATGTAATGGAGACTTCTTTTGTTTTGATGACCTTAAGTTCTTGATGCTGTTATCTTGCTGTTATATGCTCTCATCTTTTGCTCTTTTTGTGTAGGTTCGGCTTAACGTGGCTATGTACGTACGTACAACATATGAACAGTAACCTACTGCAGAAGCTGCTGCAATTCTGACAGCTCATTTATTTCACTTGTTAGTGTTTAAACTATTTCTTTCCTAAGTTAAGCCACAGAGGAAATGCATTTCACTTAAAAATATATATGTTTCTGGAGGCTTTTTGCTCTTTTTTGATGTTTTGTTCTGTTCACCCAGATCAAACATTTTAGGAGAGCTGTGAAGTTGTTAATGTTGACTTTATTCTTTGAGAGGGGAAAGACCGGTGATTCTCTCTGATTTAGGAGATTTTAATCAGGAACAAATCTGATAGTGATCAGTTTGGAAGGTAGAAGTGTGTATTTTATCACAGGACCCAAGAAATGAAACTTGTAGAAGACTTTCTTGGTGTTTTGTCATCTTTACAGAGCTGACCTGGAATGACAAACTAGTTTCTGGTTTCTGCCTTATCACACACATTACTAATCACATTAAAATAAAAGTTTAAATCTACAGCTGCCTTTTTTTTTTTTTTTTTTTTTGGTGGGGGGGATTTATAATGAACCAGTAGGCTACAGGAGTTAATAATCTGAAATTTTTATGGCTCACCATTTGGAATGTCCAGGTTTTGTTTTCAAAAAACCATATGTGTAGAACTATGACAGATTTGCTGTAGCTACCTGACCTCAGATGATAGTAATGTCCAAGCCCTGTAGATTTCTCTTTAGAGAGCCATCCTGTTTCTAAATATATAATCTGCATGCTGAGACTGTTAATGATCCAAATAATTCTTTAACACTTGTCTAGGAACTGAGTTATCTGAGGAGTCCATCTATTTTTTTTAAGTGTCAGCTTTTTAAGAATGTGTGTTGTACAAATAGAAATACAGAATATATAAGTATTTCAAAACGGAAACTTTTCCTAACTCTAAAAAAAAAAATTTGTGCAATTGCTGAATTCCAACTTAATGTGGTGAGTCAGAATTCTGTACTTTAGGGAGAAAATGGCAGCTTCCAACTATGGGAGAAAGATCCTTAGCTGCGTTTTTTGTTTCTTTGCTTTTATGTGTGAAGATAGGACAAAAACTCATCTTCCATACTTCGTTTCTGCACAACATACCTATTTATCATTTTCTTGCATGAGTGTGTGAACAGAACTGCTTGTTTCAACAAAATATTTCCTTAAACTCTAATGGGTAATAATGGGTAATCTTGTATCTGCTTTTGCTGAAAGATTAATTAGTTTTAATGCAAGTGGTATTCTCTATGATGAAGCTGGTGGATTTAAAACATTTCATTAAGTGCAGTTTAAAGGAGAACGATCTTATTTAACAATCCACTTGATTGGTTTTGTTAGAGAAGATAGAGAAAATGAATTTGTCTCTATCATTATCTGCAGTACAGGCTTATGGTATTGTCCTGGCTTCAGCGGGGATAGATGATTTTCTTTATAGTGGCTAGTTTGATGCTGTGTTTTGGATTTAGGAGAAAACACACTGAGCAGTGCAGCGCAGAACCAAGGGTATTCCAGCTTCTCACACTCTCATGCCAGCAAGGAGACTGGAGCTGAGGGGGTGGGTATGAGGAGCTGGAAGGAAACAAAAACCAAATTGTGACCCAAACTGACCAAAGGTGTCCCATACCAAATGGCATCATATTGAACTATAAACAGGGGGAGTTGGCCAAGGAAGATTGCACCGCTTGGACACTGGCTAGTCATCAGTCAACAAGTGATGAAGAACTGCATTGTGCATTACTTGTTTTGTGTGTTATTCTTATCTATTTAATTTTCCCTTTTATGTCCTTTTAAATGGTTTTTATCTCAACCTTTCTACCTCTTTTTTTTTTTTTTTTTTTTGTTCTTCATTCTCTCCCTTGTTCCACTGTGCAAGAGTGAGCAAATGACTGTGTGATGCTTGGCTACCTGCTGGCTTACACCACAATAGATATTTATATGTGGCGACACATTTATCTTATCACTGATTATTTGTTACTTTTGCCCTTCCTTGTGTTCAGCTGTGCTGAATCCAGCCAAAACCCTAGGTAAGTTGAGGTTACATAGTATTCACAAGGCCAAAAAAGTTCTCTTACTGTGATTCACAATAGCTAGTTGCAGTTGACTTTGTCCTGACAACAAGATGGATGCTACTGTTTTCTGCCTTGTTGGTCTTTGAATTTCTGTCTCGTATGTTCTCGTTTACCAATCTGGGAAATGAAAAAGGGAAACAAGATTAAATTTATGTGCCTGTGTGGAATGTTCACAACATTTGCTGAATAGTTGATAATTTTTTTTTTTTTTTTTTTTTTTTTTAATTACATGAGCCTATGGAAAAGGAAGGAAGTAAGTTTTGACTTAAGTTACCTGCATTATCCTTCTCAGAATTGTAGTTGCGGTGTTGACATATGCCGAAGTTACAGGCAAAAACAAAAAGTAATACTTATTACCTAGGCATGTCCCTTAATATTCTCTAGGCTATCACAACATCTTTTGAACAGTGTTGACTGCAGAAAGATTTATTTTGAGCTTATGTTTAATAAATAAATGAATAAGCAAAGAAATTGAAACCCTGGCTTGAAAAAGCAGTGGATAGTAAATAATAGCCCCTCTTGACTTGTACTGACTGGAGAGTTAAAATATAAAGCATACATATCTATACCCTAGATGTGCTACTGAATATGCTAACCATAGGGTACTATTCTACGATTGGTTGAATTATCTCTGGTTCCTGAGGTTTATCAGTTTGTACTTAAGAGCCCTTGAAATCAAGACAGGCAGTTAGACCCTCGTTTCAGCAAAAATCTTTGGTCAGCCTTCCAATTTACTGCACACTAGGAAAAGCAGAAGCTTGAAGTTAAAAATTGAATATCATAACACCTTTTCCTTTCTCCATCCTTCCCGTGATCCGCATTACTCCTTCATTCTTGACACCTCTTTCTCTTCCTCCTCCATGAGCAGTACAAGGGAGAACTTAACAGTTCTCTGTTGCTCCTTCCTCTTCTAAGCTTTTGCCTGATTCAGTGTGGGTTCTGTCCACAGATCATAGTTCAAGAACTGTTCTAGTGTGGGCTCTCCATGTGCTTTAGCCCTTCTAGGTATTTCCACCTGAACTGGTATGTGATCTTCTCTGGGTTATGTATGAATATCTCTGGAACGGTTCTTTCCACTGGCTGCAGATAAATATCTTCTCTGACACCTGGAGCATTTTCTCTCCTTGCTTCCTCTCCAATTTAGGTATTCGCACTGCAGTTTCTTAACATTTGATTTTCTCCATCTCAGCCTTAAATCTTTTCCTGGAGGCATAACTAGCTTTGCTTTGACATTCAGCTATGTCCTGCTGTGACGCTGGTGGAACTAACTGGAACTCACTCTGTCCAGTATAGGTCTCTTTTCTGAGGTCACCCCTGCCACCACACCTTGCCACCCTTGCCCAATAATCTTCTGTTGTATTGCTTTATTGGAGAGCAAAGACATATACACATTTCTGTATTTCTGTGTGGGTCATCAGTGGCTTGCAGGTCTTTCTGGAGCAGGTAGAATAGACATTCAAGTGTTCTACCAGACATTGCTTGGGACAAGGGGAAGAAGCCTAAGTACGCAGTGCCATATAAAAAACTGTATTAGAAGAAGTTTTGCAGTTTTCTTAGGGTGCATTGTAGTTGTATGAAAGTGAAGGATATAATTTATTTGTCCAATAGTGGATGGCCGAGTGATTTCATTAACTCATTCCTTGTTGAAAAGAAACAAGGATACTGTTTGCTGTATGAATTTTGTTTTCATAATAAAGTGATTTGCAGTTTACTTAGTTGAGATTGTTGGTAGTTGACTTAACATGCTTTCCTTCTTGTAACAGATTATGGTTATGACAGATGGCACATCGTTCTCTTCAGGGCAGAGCCTGCATCTCCCCAGCCTTCCTAGTAACTCCCTGTCTTTTTCTGAAGTGAAGAAGAAATCATCTCATGGGCCAAAGGTGAGATTTAATTGGATAGAAAATATTTGAGCCAATAAGGCTTTTCCTGGGAAATAACATGAGAAGAAAGGTATCTCTAGGTATTTTTTAGATCGTGACATAATCCAGTGATATCAATAGGTAAGAACATTTATTTAGTGTAAACTTACTGTTAGCTGCATCAAAATAATGCAGACCAGGGATGTAAGTGAGAATTGATGCTAGGGGAAGTATTGTTTTATTAGATTTTGAACAACCACAGGTATTTTCCTCTTTTCCCAGATGGAATACTAATTGTCTGTTGTAGTATTAGGAGATTCAGGGATGGAAATGGGATTTCTGTTTTTAATTACTAGCCTGAGAAACAAGGAAGTGCTTCACATTCATATGTTCAGATGTCACCAGAATCTTGTTTATTGTTTGGAAATATAGTGACTTGTGTTTACAACTTTGTGTTTCAAAGTAGTTTATCTTTCATTAGTATGGGATATTAGCAGATGTTAGTATTTGTATTTGTAGCAGATATTAGTATTTGTATTAATGTATATGTATATGGAAATTTCAAAATTGACTTGTTGCTAGAAGTAGCTTGGCACTGTAAGCTTGCCAAAGAGTCTTTGTTTTGGCTTGCTAATCATAGACCCATTCTGTTTATTTGTGATAAAAAATTTCCGTTATACTGCAGAAGTTTTTCCTCAAACTATTTTGCAATTATTTCATTTTCAGTTTTTTAAATTAGTTTTTTCTCCCAACGTTTAAAATAGGTCTACAGGAGGAAAAAAAAAATAGTGTTTCCATTCACTCTTATTTTCCCCACCAAGTTTGTGTTGCAGGTTACTGGTAGAACATTTTTTACTTTCTGGAACTAGGGATGGGCTCTCCAGACATTTAGCAAGCATTAGAGGTGCTTCTAGAATTAATCCATAATGCACTGTACTTTACTTTTGAGACAATCCTCTTCTTGTCTGCATCTCTTCAGTTGGTTAGGGATGATTATTTTGTTGAAATTTGCAGGGTCAGTTGATGTTTCTGTCCAATGTTTAAGTTTTCTTTTTTTTTTCTGTCTTGTAGGACCTCTGAGTTGTCACCCTCTCAGAGATCCATCTCACTGTATAACTACTGAATTTAAAAAATGCAATGAAATGCTCAATATAAACAATAGTAAATACAAAGAAGGAAAACCTTCTTAGTAGAGGCTTTCTGTTAAACAGCGTTTACTACTGAGATGTTGCATGTCAAATCATGTCTGACATAACCAGGCTGGATCCACAGTTTCCATTCCGTATAAAGGATAGGCTCTAGCTAAAGTTGAAGAGGGGATCACGGTATGGCACTCAAGCTCTGCCTGAAATATCAGTAGGACGACGTGTTTTACACTGGTCCTGAAGTAATTCTGTTAACAGTATATGATTGATATGATGATCTTGTGATTTTTTTTCCTGAAATTTAATGATCATAGTTTAGGAAATGTGAACTAATCTTTATGTTCACCTTAAAATGTTTCTTGAAGGCCATATCTGATTCTTAAGCGATAAAAACTAACCTTTGTCTTGCAAATGCCAAAAGGCAGTAATAACTGCTCATGCTCCACAGCTTTGTAATAGTTTCTCTATCAATTCTTATATGGTCACTTACTGTTTCTTTTTTTCACCCTGCAGTTTAAAGTTTCTGACATGAATCTTGTGTCTGCGTTGTTTATCTCTTTTTTTATCTAAAGTTTTACATCCCATTTTTGCAGGACCCTACTAAGATTCTGAACATAAATAGCAGTAGCGGCAGTAGTAACAGTTTTTCAAAGCCCCACAAGTTAACAAAGGAGCACAAGGAAAAAACTTCTAAAGACTCAAAAGAACAAAAAAGTGCCTTCAAAGAACCTTCCAGGGAACACAATAAATCTTCCAAAGAATCCTCTAAGAAACCCAAAGAAAATAAACCACTAAAAGATGAAAAAATGGTTCCTAAGATGGCCTTCAAGGAACCTAAATCCATGTCCAAGGAGCCAAAATCTGAAAACACCCCCATCCTTACCATCACAGGTGGACAGCAAGAAAAGAAGACTCCTACAAAAAGGCCCTCTGTTCTGGATTCTGATGAACCTTCTGCAAAAAAGAGAAAAAAAAGTGTGCCAGAGTCATTATTTAAAAGCTTTTCTAATGCTCCATCACTAATTCTTACTTGTTCAGCTGACAAAAAGCAAACAAAGGACAAGTCTCAGCTTAAGATGGGGAGAGTCAAAATTGAAAGTGATACACTGGAAAAGAAGACATCTACTCTGCCACCATTTGATGATATTATAGACCCCAATGATTCTGACATGGAGGAAAACATGTCTTCTAAATCTGAAGTAAGAACTGTTTCGTTTCTTTTCATATGTATAAAGCATTTCTAGTCTGCGGGATTGTGTGCCATATTTGTATTTCAGCTGAAGGGTTTTGACTACTGGCTGTGAAAACTTACACATATTGTGTTCGAATTGTGTTTCCTAATCAAGTGTACGTAATTTATAAATGTCAGCATTATGACCAATGACCAAAGGGGAGATGGTTATAAGTAGTGTTCTTTTGATCTTGTTTTTTTTTATTTCATGCTTTTTTTTTTTTTTTTTTTTTTTTTTTTTAAGATCGAAGGGAGTTGGTTTGAATACTTATATCTCACATGCTCACATGTTTTTATGGTCAGACACTAGATATCTAAATTCAGTGAATTTGGGAAAAGACTGAAGTAATATAGTATTGTTTGTTATTTTTCTGCTAAAAAGGGCAGTTCTGTAAATGATGCCAGCTTACTGGACAAAGAGTTCCTTGAAAGGGGGGAATCTATCCAAAGTTAATAGACTCAATAGACTCAACAAGAAAGTTTTTTTTTAATGGAGGTTTGCTTTCCTGAAAATATTTCTTCCATGCCTGCTCATCTGTTTCAAGCACAGTATTCTTTTGATGATTAGGATTTAAATCATTCTCCTGGCAGGGTTCAGCTTTAGGAGCATCTTTTATCGATACATGAGTAGAGAAGGAAGAGAATAGGAAGAGAAGACCTGTTTGGTGTCTTCATTTGTACTTAAGGCTTGAGGCAGTAAGCAGGATGGAGAGAAAATCTGACTAGTTTAACTTATTCAACAGTTCTTTGATTTTTATTATATTTTCTGCCTCCACTACTGCCTTCAGATTCATAGCTGTGCTTGCACTCTCTGGAACTACATCTGTGAGGATGTAGGTTCTTCATAGAAACATGTAGCCGGGAAAGATCTCACGTCTGTTGAGTTTCTAAATGGGCATTTTAATGCATGAACAGTTAAGTCATGCAGAGGCTATACAGTTTGGAAGGTGTGTAAAATGATAGGCCCCTCTCTACAGCACTGTTGAAGTTGTTTTTGTGATCTTCCCTTTAAACCTGAAAATGTTCATACTTAACAGCCTTAGCGTAAATAATATTTAAATGTCTTTAAAATAGAATATTTAGCTTTTTATGAGTCACGGCCATATCCTATGACTCACTACCTACTCTTGATGTAGCCAGCCAATCAGAACTGAGTTTGATTTTACACTTCCTATTTACTCAGGTACATAAGACCTTCACATTCTACATAAGACCTTCAATATTCTTCACACATTAAGGAATTAAGAAAAGAAACTGCAGTATAACTGGAATCTTACACATGCAGACGTTGCAGATGTGTGTGCTGAATAGCAGCTTGCAGATGATTTAATTGTTAATGTGTGTTGCCATCTTTGTATTGCAACCTCCTGCCTTTTATCAATGTTATAACGTTCACACTCTTGTCTTTTTCATAGATTACACAAATCCTCTTGTCCTGCTGTTTGTCATCCAACTGGAATGCTGCCACTGCAGGACATGAGCGGTGCCTTAATTCTGTACTAAAGCAGATTTTGAGTTTTCTTGTTTTTCACACCTCTCTTATTGAAAAAGTAAAGTACTAAATTCCACTCAGAGAGAAGAATCTACAGATATGGGCTCTGGTTTATATTAATATTGACATCCTGAATCATGGAACAGTTGGCTCTTCAGTGGGAGGGCAAGTATAGTCCATGTCACTGTATGGGTGAAAACAGCTTTGGGAACATGCTTACCAAAAAATCAAGATGACTATGGCTCTGGTCAGTGATTCGATAATATTTAGAATACCAGTAATATATTTATTTATAGGAAATATATCTAAAAATCCTGGCAAAGTACCTGAAGGTACCTGTGGATTCACACTTTTATGGGAGAGCTGGGAAGTGTGGTTAACTGATATCCACAGAATTTCATAAAGTCCTTCTACGTTTTGTTAGTTTTAACCAAGGAGCACCATAAGAGGCATTTGAGCAATGTTATAATGTAATAGAGGTAATTATGTGATGGGAAAATATGAACTTTTATTGTGTTGGTGGGTTTCTAAGTATTTCAGAGAAAAAAAAAAATACAGCTAACTCAACAAATGATATATGCTATAAACAAGGTAATATGGAAAAAAGATTGAAAAGTTGCAATGTTTATTAGAGAGTTTTACTATGTCAGTAGTTACAGTCTGTTTGTGCATTGTGATATTAACCATTTTAGTTGCCCGGAGCTGGGATGATGTTTCTTCAGTGGCATGCTCTGACATAATAGCATGTTATAAAATTCATTCCAATCTTATTTACTTAACTGATGTAATCACAAGACCTCTCAGTTTTTCTGCTGTGACCTTGGGAATATGAAGAGTACCCATTTGACTGGGAGCTGTCAGATATTGTCCTTGTTTTCAAGAAAGCAGACCCTGGTACCTACATCAGTCTCACTTCAGTGCCTGATAAAATTTGGAGGTCATTATGTGAGTTGCTGAAAAACACCTAAAAGACTATGCAATTATTGTTCATAAATAACACAGGTTCTTGAGGGAAAAGTCTTGTTTTATGTAGTTAATTACATAGAAAGTTAATTACTTTCTATGATGAGATTACCCACATAGTTGACCAAGATAAGGCAGTTGATATAATCTTTCTGAATTTCAACAAAGCTGTTTCTCACAGTATCCTTCTGGACAAAAGATCCAGTGTAACAAGTACATACTCAAACAGGCTAACAGTTGAATGATGGATTGGACTCAGAGGTTATAATAAATGGAGTAACATCTGACTGGTGAGCAGTAAATAGAAAGGTTCTGCAGGGCTCTAATTTTTTTGTCCAGTCCTCTTTAATGTTTTTATCTCGATTCAGGACTCAAGCACATAGTAAGTAAGCTTGCAGAGGACACTAAATTATGAGTAATTGTGGACTTCATCAGGTGTGGGAAGGCCTGGCGGAGAGAACTTGACAACTGGAAGACTAGGTGATCGCCAAGCACATGAAATTTAGTAAAAGTACCATATCCAGGGGTGTATCAAACACAGCACTGCTAGACATTTAAGAGAAAGGATTGTTCTGCTCTGCTTTGCACTGGGGTAGCCTCACCTCCAGCACTGTGCACAGTTCTAGGCACCACATTATAAGATATAAAACTAGTAGCATCCAAAGAAGACATACGAAGATGGTGGAAGGACTAGAGGGCAAGACTTACGAGGAGCAAGCTGAGGTTCTTAGGTGTGCTCAGCCCAGAGCAGGGCAGGCTGAGGGAAGGCCTTGCGGCAGCTGCAGCTTCTCATAGGGGGAGTGTAGGGGCAGTTCTGAACTTTGCTCTGGTGACAGTAACATGATATGAGGGACTGGCATGGAGCTGTTTATTCCCTGTAAATACTGGAAGACTGCAACGAGGTCTCCCTGCGGCTTCCTCTTTTCTGGGCTGAACAAGCACCTTAGGGCCAAGTTCCTTAAGCCTGTGTTCATAGGAGAGATGCTCCAGCCCAAGGATCATCTTTGTGGCCCTCCTCTTGACCCTCTCCACCAACTCCACATTTTTCCTGACTTGGACAGTGAGTGAAAACATGGAGGATTTATGGTTTTATTGAGGGGCAGGAATATTAGCTCGGGTAGGAAGCTCTAAAGATCATGCTTTTAAATTCAGTAACAGGATGCTTTAGTTGAAGTACACTTTCTGTTTGCTTTCTGTATGGGACAGTGCAGCAGTATGATTAAAAAATAAAAATGAAGACATGACCTTGTTTTTGCTCTCTGGCCATGAAATATGGTGATGTTCTCATAATATTTATGTAAACTGTAGGCTTTGTGAAATAGGGAAATACAAAGGTTTAGATCCAAGGGAGGTGTCTTCCAAGGCCTTGGAAGACAGCTGTCCCTTCTGAATGGTGCAGTGGTTGCAGAAGGGATGCTTTGATACTTTCTGTACCCATTTTTATAGGTTTTGTAGGGAGAAAAAGTAGTGCACGCCTCTCTCTGTTGCTGCAGCAACACAGTGGCATCAAGAAGATCAAACAGATTGTGTATGCTAATTTGCTGGTCAGTGTTGCTCATCTTCTCACTCGTCTGCAATTGCAGTGATCTGAAACTCTCAAAGTCCACTATGTGTGAAGGCAGAGTTTGAAGACACACAGCTCTGTTTTATGAATTTCTGTCTCCAGCCCAATTATTTTGTGCATAACGAGTGTTTTTCTTCCTGCAATTATAACATTGTGATTAGTAGTAGGAGGTTTTTTGGAATGCCTAAGCCTATTGGAATACAACCCAGGAAAAAAAGCATGCTAATAAACTGTGACAGGTCAAGAGTAAGGACTTTTCATTTTTAAGCAGAGTTACTTTACCAAACCATTTGCCTTCAGTAAAATACAATCTCCTTAGTAAGTCAGTTACCAAACAATGAATATATAGCAGTGATGTTATAGACTATGGGTTGTATTTAATTAACTGCTTGTGTGTCTTTAAGCAGTCTTAAAGTTGCAACATGAGCACCTTTTTAAAGTAATCCATAAAATGCCACTTTAATCTGGAGTCAGGTTTGTTAATTTAACTATTACATATGTGCAAGAATATCTGGAAAATGCCTTTTTGTTTTTTAAAACCTCCAGGCCCTTGTTAGCTGAAAAATCCTGCTATTAACCAGGGCTGGGAGCCAAAGATAGATCTTTTTCAGATAACACAGTTTAGATTCATAGTAGTTGAAGACAGCTCCACATGGTATTTTCTTGTTAACCCATATAGTTGCTGCAAACAGAAGTAGGTGTTAGCAGAAAAAATATTGTACAGTCCAAGATATTTCCCTCCAGATTGTATTCGGAGATAAACAGTGGCTTAAAATGATCTGTTCTGTTTGCAGAAAGGCTAGGCAGATGGTAGGCAGAAGCCTGAATGGCCATCAGTGCCTGTTAGTGCCATGGTAGTCTGGCACTGTTTAGCTGCTGTATGGGGTAATAACAGAGCAAAACCATCTTCCATCTAGAGTTAAGAAAAAGCACCAAGGTCAGCATGTGG